TGCCCATTGACTTTGAATGGGGTGACGTCACTTTTCCTCGCTTTTCGTGGAACTACATTGTGGGGAAGCAAAGCGAAGATTTCCAGGATTCAAAAGTTGGAAACTTGAAATGTCTGTGGATCTTTCGGTTCGGGCCGAGCACATTTCGCTAGCCACTGCCTCCGAACGTACTTCCTACGCTTACCCGTTGGCAATAGATGGAACCGAGCATTCCGTGGATTGTTCCTATCCGAATTGTGGCAATGTTTCGCGATACAATGAGGCATATTTCTATAGAATTGAGAGAGTAACTAGAGTAAACAACATGAACAAAGCACATACGTCAATTTGTCCTCGACACCAAACGCATAGTTCACGTCACTTTCGGTAAAATAAGTCATGTGACTCTTCAAAATGGCGCCGCCCACAGGGTTGATGTTATTTAGGTTATTAATCAGTTTAAAATCACTGATAACGTCATCGGGTCTGTTTTATCGGATGATAATTATTTTAAAATGCGTGTCATGAGCATACCCTCCCTTTAAGTATCATTTCCAAAAGGAGAACATTTCATTTTATCAGAGTATATTTACAGTGCGGTTTGAGCACTTTTAATTTAGTAAAGGATCTGAATACTTCTTTCACCACTGACCAGCAGGAATGGAAATCATTCAGTGGAAACAGAAAGCACTTTACTTTGTGACTAATAAATGACCCCGGTCTAATCTCGAATGATTAGCAGAAAGGTCCGTGTCTCATTTTCAAACAATGCCGTGATGTTTGCAGGACATGCGGCTCTGCTCTTTCAGACGAGGCCACATGCTCTGAGTGTTTCGGGTTTCCAGGGAAACTGGAGGCCACCTGCTTGCTCGGCTGAACTTTGCAGCATAGTAAAAAGCAGATCAACACCTTTCTGGTTTTGTTCGGGGAGTTACCATGGCTTCTCTCCAGTGTTTCCAGCATTACCACTGCGATTTCAAGCCTTTCATAAAACGGCATAGGGGTGGGAAGTATGGCAACCTGACTATTGTCTTGTTCGAGAAAGACACTGGAAAGCGGGGATCTACAGTTACACTGAAATATACATAGAGCAGGCTCACTAAATCCTGCCATTGACGGGCAATTATCGTATATCATTATTATTATTTCTTGTCTTGCAGAAACACAATGCACTGAGACAATAATGAAGCTGTTGTGAAGCACAAAGCTATGATTAATGATGAAAAGCTAATATTCATTAAAACCAGTCAAGGATGAAATCTAAAAACAAAAAGGACTTTTATTGTAATTCTATATTTCCATGCCAATGGACATCAAATGGATTATTTTAGGGCTAACGATTATAGTTTTTTCATTATCAATTATCATATGAATGAGCTGACTCGTCATTTATACAACAAAATGGCAAAACATAGTTTTAAAATAGGAAGACTAAAACCCAAAAATATTCTACATACAATGAAGATATTGGTTCTTTTCAAAGGGGCCTCCTGCCAAAAAGGTCATTTAACTTCTGGTTAATGCTGCTTTCAGCCAATCAAATATGGAGATATTCAGCTTTTCCCTGTTTGATATTATAATAAAGCGAATATTTTTGGGGTTCTTGACTGACAAAAAACGCATTAAAAGACATTACCTTGGACTATAGGAAATCTGGATGAACATTTTTCACCATTTCTGATCATTATATAGTCCAAACAATTATGTATAATGAAATGTATTTGTTACCATATTGTCGATTTACTGTCCAAATCCCAAAGATATTCACATAGCTTTGATAAATACAGTTAAGTGGCTGAAACTAGCCAAAGTTTGGCATTTTGCTTGAAAAATGGCTGAAACAAGTTGATCAAAAATCAAAATAGTCGCTGCTTAATACATTCATGGATTAAAAAAAAGTGATATGGTATTTAGTCTGTGTCTTAAGGAACATTGGTCGATATAATTTAATACAGAAGCAGTTTCAATGCATTTTTCAGCTCAATGGTTGTCAGCAATGCTTCCAACAACACGGACACAAAGACGCCTTGGCAACTTGAACAGAGACGGTTAAGAATCACCATATCGCTTCACTACTGATACACTCACAGGGAGAGGCAGTGAGTCCAGATCCAAGGCTGTAATTCATCCGACATGTGTGTGGAGGCAGTGCATGATAATGTGGGCCATTACCTGCCAGAGCCCGGCTGCACACTGAAGCCATTCATCCTCACTCAAAGCTTTACAACGTAAACACAGCAACGTGTTACAAAACATATCAGTGTTTGCAAAACACATGTCTTCAGTCTCAGTCTGGAAACTCAGACACTGGAGCCACATACAAGCTTAATAGGCATTTAAACTAGCAGGGAGGAAAGTCTAGTCAGTTTAATTCTTAGAAGTACTTTATTTCTTAAGAAATGGTAAGTTGTGAACTTCAACATGGATGTTAAACATACAATTGTTGCATCATTATATGTTCTATGTATGGTGCTCTTGAAAAAGTGTAGTCTCACTCTCTTTTATCCAATTACTGCAAAAGATGGAGATCATATATATTGAGGCTATTATATAAGGTATGAAAACTACAATTTTAAATATTTTTTCTTATAAGATTCAGCAAAGATGGTGGAAAGTCCAGCAAAAGGTCTGAAATTGAGATGCTATCAATGAAAGATTTCCAAACATTGCTTTCACATGACACCAAATATGGTTAACTATTCTGCAATGTTTTTCATGACTATCAATACAACATAAACCTAATAAATCCAGTTAAGCCCCGAGCCTGTTTTTCAGACCTCAGGCTCGAAAATGACATTTCCAGAACAAATGACCATAACTAGACTTCTAAAAGGGGTACATTAATAATCTTTTTTCTCAAAGCAATGATAAACCTGTAAGTTGGATGTAGAAAAGTCAGAATCAATATAGAATTTTTTTATTTTAAAGTAAATTCAGATTGAACATAGTAAAACATTTTAAAATATAGTGGCCGTCCAAAATAAAACCATTACTTATAGTGAAAACCACTCTTGAATGATGGGATCGGAGACTAAAAGCTTTAGGAATCCAAACTATAACAGGTAGGTCACCCTTGAGAAAGAGATCAATGATCTCAATGGGATTCACCTGCATAAATAAAGGTTTGAAATTAAATGAAATATAACATATAATAAGTATCCTGTATCAAGATTGATGCAAAACAAGTGACATTTGCCTTTTTAGAGAGATTTAGAAAAAAAAAACACTTGGGGTCATTTGGGTGCATTTGCCATATCTCTGGAACCCCTCGGTCGATTTGGATGATTGACACCTCTTTTTAACCGTTAGAGCCAATAGAATCGAGGGGAAGTTCCTAAATCCATCTAAACATTACCCATTGGTGAATGAGTGATGCGTAGCCAGAATGCCCAAAACCGGAAGCTGTCATACACTCTCGTAGCTATCATAGCAGCTATATATGAAAACTCCGTTATTGACATAAATATGATGATGGATTATCAGTAATCATTTCAAAGTGACAGACACATTGGATTAACCTTCAGCAGCGTTTTTATCGTTGTAATGCCATTGAACACAACTTTTGATCAGAAACAGCAAAAGGCAAGACATATTTGTAGCTTTTGCTACGTAAAGCTACGTGGTGTGTTGTCTGGGTTTGCTTCCCCTGCCACGAGCTTTGGTCGCACAGTGATGATACTTATATTTCTAGAATCTGTGTGATCTCAGCTTTACATCTGATATCTTGTTTGTGCAGATCCGATAAGTAATAAGGATGTTTTACCGTGAGTTCTGTGCTAAGTGCGTTAGCATTTTTTCGCTCAGGGCTAATTCAGAAGCTTGGTATTACCCTTGTGTTTCGTTTAGCTAAAAATTGTTAATATTGTCTGATAGCTGAGTTTCTTCCCGTTAAGTGGGTATGATGACACATTCATAGTTTTGTTAAATGTTAAGAAGCCCTCAGACGCTGTTTCTTCCAAGATGTTGCGTTTTGCCCAACATGGGAAAAACGGGGCATGGGGCTTAACTGGATTTAAGCAACCTTCACTGTTTTCCACATCCACTTCCTGCGGATGAGATTTGGTTATATTGAAACTGAATTTTGGACAATCCATTAAATAAAACTAAGAGCGACATTATATGTTATATTTCTTACATCCATTGATAATGGTGCCTAATTGTAATATATTTGGGTAGCCAATCGTCTACTCATTGGCAATTCACCTAAACATAAACAATGTGTAAAGAAAGTGAGACAATAATCAACCATAAAAAAAGAAATGCCCACTACCTTGATAATCCAAAACCCATGCAAACAATATTGTGTTGTGTAATATTTCCCCTCACTACTTACATTTGGTTCCTCTTTTGGATGTCTGTATACTGTGATAATGTGACAGAATATTTGACAAAATATATACAAAAAATACAAAACCCAAGGGGTAATGACACAAAACAGAGAAGCTGTTAAAATATGCCAAGAAAACGAAATGAATGAATACTCAAACATAGTTAATATATCCATTTAAGTGTATAAAAGATCACAATAGTTTCTTAAAATGTACACTAAGACACCCTTTTCATGGGTTAACAACACCCTTAAAGTCAAACTAACATATTTACAGTCCCAATATGCAACTAATGTGGTTTGAGCATAGGGTTTGAGCACAGGGTTCGAGGCTACTTTGGATTTTGTTTCCAACAGGTTGACTAACTGACATTCTTGACCGTTACTTCCGCTAACTTCGTAGTAAAAATAAAGCCTGTCACAGAAAGATATGTAAGCTAGCAAACAAAACGTAGTTTCATGAAGCTAATATACGTTTTAAACCGGGAAAAAGTGGCTTAAAAGGACAAAAATAAACATGATAACGGGCTAATAATGTGGGTGTGATTTGACCACACAGGCCTCTGATATTAGGCGACCGTTAATGTCAGTTTACGAGACCGGCTTACATTTAAAACTACTCGACCGTTAGTGTCAGTTTATGAGATGTTACATTTAAAACTACTCGACCGTTAAGACGGCATGATGGACTCACCTCAGCGGGACTCAGGAGAAAGGTAAGCCGACAAGAAGACACCTAAATCGGATTTAAATCTCAAGTTTTCATCCTGGCAGCGCAGGGAAAGTCACTTCATGTTTCTTCGCTTGTTTTTCCTCGGATAAAAAAAAAGCAGCACCCTCCCGGCAGCTCCTTCTTGTTTCGAGTATCAAAGTGTGAATTATTGAAAGAGTGTTTCTTCTGCTGCACCGTGAGATCGGTTACAACTTGTAACCCGAATCCTCCTCCTCCTACTCCTTGCGGAAAAAAAAAAAGTTTCAAACTTGAGGGCGACCTGGAAATCAACAGATTGATGTTGGCTTGGGCCAATGAAGGAGCAACAAGGGGGAGTGGACCAGCCCCAATCAGGCCGAAAAGAAAGGGCCATTTACAGCCAGGACGTTCCCTGCCCCCATCTGGGTTTTCAGTAATTATCCCAGACCCCCAGACCCAAGGCTGAGAAGTTCCCAGAGGAAATGGTGCTCAGGGAACAATGAGCAGGAACTGTGGGAGCAGTTATTCTGTCATGCAATAAATGATAAACTGACTTGCTAAGGTACACAATCAGACATGACAACAGAAAAGGGTTAGCCACTTTGCACTGTTTTTCATTTCTATCATTACATAAAACGCCTGATATGCAACCTTAACTGTCATCAGTGTTATAATTAAACAAGCATGTACTCAAGTACTGTACTTAAGTAAAAAAACGAGGTACTTTTACTTTACTTGAGAACTATTTACACAAGATGTCTCTTTATGTAATTATACTTTTACTCACCTACATTTATTTTACATATTTTGTTACTAGGTGCTTTGCAGATTTTGGTGATTGATACAAAATTCAAATGGAATAAATGATAAACTGACTTCTTAAGGTACATATGCAGACAGGACAACAGAAGCCGTTGTTGCATTGTTTATTATAACTATTGTCAAATAACTATACACCTGATGTGCAACCTTTACTGTCATCAGTGGTGTAACTACTGTACTGTACATATTTTACTTGAGTATTTTCACAAGATGCTACTTTATATTTTCACTCCACTTTGTAGGCAAATGTTGTACTCTTTACTCCACTACATTTATTTTACATATTTAGTTACTTTGCAGATTTAGGTGATCAATACAACATTCAAATCAACACACATTATTATAGGTTATGTTATCCAGTGGTGTATAACATATTTCAAGTGCAACATTGAAGTGAGGAACACATAAATGCACCAATTACTTGAATACAATAATACGAAAATATCTGTTGCTCAAAATGCCCATTTTGCATAACGAGTACTTTTACTTAAGCACAATTTCGAATGCAGGACTTTGACTTGTAACTTACTATTTTACACTGTAGTATTGCTTGTCAATGAAGAGTGGTCATTTTTGCACTTTGACCAAACAAATAAATAGTACATTTAATAGTTTCATAACATTCAATCAGTAATGAGAACACACACACACACACACACACACACACACACACACACACACACACACACACACACACACACACACACACACACACACACTAACACATAGAGCGGATGTTTTTTTTATGGGATACAGGAAGTTTGTCATCTGTGTAATGAGGAAACAGGAATTCCTGAGGTCAAAATATCCTTCTTGCATTGTTATTTTAACTGTGAGGCAATGCCGCAGCCCTGATATCATACTGGGAGTTCTAGCCCTTCAAGCCTCAGGTGGTCATATCTCAGTGTTATTAAAGTAAGTCATATTTATTCTATCCCATAAACTAAGCCTATCAATATTTATGTTATCATGCTGCTGCAAGTCTCTGCTATCATAAAACACTAGACAGCTGCAGTGGTGACATTAACCTGCTGCTCCCTCTAGTGGCATATTGTGACAAGTTGAGGCTACTGAACCGTGTCTATAAATACAAAGTAGCAGGATATTGATTAACACTAAAAACACAGTGTAACATAAATCACCATAAACCAACATTTCCACCAACAAAACACATGAGCTCTTTAAATGCAGCAAGGGTGCCACTGAATAAAATGGGTTTTACAATGCATTTGACATTGTAAGGACAATTATTTTCTTTCTACTTTTAAGATAATCTCCTTTTTAATCGTATTTGCATCCTAATTAAAAGCTAAATCCTTCAAGGTGCAAATCTAAGTGTAGTTACATGAGATTGTATTCTGTACATTTTTCTAATACTTTGAAAACACTCTACTCTACCACTTGTTTACTTCATATCAAAACCCTTCAAAAAAGGCTTTCAAATGGTGTGAATATGAAGTTTTCTATGTTGTAGCGGTCAGTCGTACTGATAATCTAAGTAAATACAAAAAAATACATACGTTTTTATTTAATACACTTATTTGTTCAACGGTTTTTCAATAACAGTGTTAATATTGTTGTTATATAGAGCAGGGAAATCATATTTTATTTAACACTGCAGTGGGAATAATGTCAAAAGCTTTAAAAAGTCAGTGGTTCTGCATTTCTGTAACACACACCTGTGCTTCAGTTGTTGAACTCAATTTCCCAGAATCCTTTGTGGAAAACAGGATGATGACGTATTTTTGCTACGTGTCAGGAAACTGTAAGCAAACATGGCGGCGACACAGGGAGATGTTGATGAGCTCTTCGACGTGAAAAATGCCTATTATATCGGCAGTTATCAACAATGTATTAACGAGGCTCAGAAAGTGAAGGTAAGTGTCTAATATGGCATCAGTTACATATTTTAAAATAAACTGTTTTGTCCGTTATTTACTGTTATTGCTCTGACTAAAAGCTGTCAACGGATTTGAGCTACAATGCTAACATGCTAGCTCATACTTCTCTTTAAAATACTGCCTGTGTTTTTCTTTCAAGCCGTCAACACCAGAGAAGGAGGTTGAAAGGGACATGTTTTTGTACAGAGCATACATTGCCCAGGTGAAGTCATTTTCTTGCGTAGAATTAGTATTATATGTCACACAGAGCTCAGTCTCTTGTTGTTAGCTACTTCACATGCATTGCTGTCAGTTATTTTGCATATAAAAAGACACTGCTAATCTTCACTTGTTTGTGCTATTACAGAGGAAGTATGCTGTAGTCCTGGATGACATCAAGGCCAACTCTCCACCTGAGCTCCAGGCTGTCAAGATGTTTGCAGAGTATCGGTCCAGTGAAAGCAAAAGGTAACAGCATGCATTTTAATGTTAGGTCCACATGACCCGGGCAGGGGACTACACTTGTTGTGTTGACAGAAACTCAATATATTCATGCAATTTTTTTTGAAAGTGAAAAGCTTTCAATTAGTATCAAAATTAGACCCAGCATCAACTACAACACTAATGCAGGTCCTCTTGAATGCACAGTTTTTGTGCAGGGGGAGAACAGTGCCTTCATACAGAGACTTCAATAATGAAACAATGTTTTTTTTTGTATCGTCTCAAATATCCATCAGAAACATATTCTCCACTCTGTACTGAAACCTTGATGTAAGCTTCATCTAAGGATTATTTTCATTGTCGATATATCTGCCGGTTCTTTACTTCGTTAATCTGTTCGATAAAAAAACGTCAGAAAATGATGAAAAATGTCCATCCTAGTTTTGATAAAGCAAATAAGTGCCTTTTAAATGTCTTGATTTGCCCGGCATTCTGTTTTATATCACTTCAAATAAACTACTTTAATCATTACAGGGTTCTTGTGGATCTTTAACATGTCATCCCTTAAAAATACCTTTAAATTAATTGAAGAAACAATGTCTCAATTATTAACAGCATTTCTTGAATCAATCTTTCAAAAGTCTTAAATGTTAAGATGTGCAAAGTTGCATGTTTATGAATCTTTTTGTGACGTTGCTTTACAACATTCAAAAAAAGTATATACTGTATCCCCAAAATACTGATAATGATCCATTTGAGTTTAAATTCCTTATTTTTACGTCTTGAAGGGATGCTATTGTTGCCGATCTAGACAAGAACATGGCGAAGAGCGTGGATGCTGCCAACACCACCTTCCTCCTCATGGCCGCCTCCATCTACTTCCATGAGATGAACTGTGACGCCGCTCTCAGGACTCTGCACCAAGGAGAAAGCCTTGAGTGGTAGGAAGGGATCAAGACTTTTCTGTTAAAAAGTGTCAGAAAGATGTTGTTCAAGAGGGTTTTGGCTACCTAGTTTTCTCCCAGTTTCACACTAGATGGTAGGGATGCTCCGATCGATCGGCCGCTGATCGATATCGGCCAATACTCACTCTCTGCCGATCGATCGGTGCTCTCTAAAAATGCCGATCGCATGACGTAAAATGGTGACGTAAAATACATGACACTTTTCTCTGTGCGCGGCAAAACAAGCTCGCCAAAATGGCTTCACCGGTCTGGCAGTATTTTAAGTGTCCGAAAAGGACAATGAAATAGCGGTATGCAGCGTGTGTGAAGCAGAAATCCTGCAGCTCCGCCCGCTGTGACGGACCGGTGAGCGAAACACACACTCAGAGTTAGACATAACACACTTTTTTTTTTTTATCTACCTCTGGAACAAGCTAAACTAGTTATAAATATATTTATTCTTCACTGTCGGGTCACTTATTACTGGATCAGTGAGCTGCATGAGATACTGACAGGCTGTCGAGAGAGAGAGGAAAAGAGTGTGTGAGAGAGAGAGTGTGATTAAAATAGCCCAATTTCTTTTACAATAAATAAACATTGAATGTGTTTAATTAAATAGTAAAGGGGTTTAACGTTAGTGGCAGGTTGTGTGTGAGAGAGAATAAATAAATAAGACAGCCCAATATTTATTTATTTCGCAACTTTCCGCATATTTCGTAATTTCACCGCATCAAATCACATAAAACCCCGCATGTTTGATTGCATAATCAAGGATTTTAGCCCGCGTTTTTCTGGAGGGTCTAACTTTAAATGGAAGATCCCCATAGGCCCCGCCCACTCGATCGGATCGGCGATCGGTATTGGCCGATACTGATTCCAGCGATCGGCCCCAAAATTAGCGATCGGAGCCTCCCTACTAGATGGTTTTGAGGGTCGAAAGACAAATGCCTGAAACTGACCTGAACATGTGTTTATTTTTCAGCATGGCCATGACCATTCAGGTGTTGCTGAGTCTGGACCGTCTGGACCTGGCAAGGTATGGCAAACACATCAACAGTGACATTGCGTACACAAAAGTATATACTGCCTCTTTGAATGTTCCTCTAACAGTGTTCCTGTAATCATTTTATTATGAAACTTGCATGCTTCATTCACAGCATTGACAT